TACCAAACGAAAGGTCGCGGCGTCGACATTGTACTAAATTCATTGGCGGAAGAAAAGTTAATCGCCTCTGTTCGGTGTTTAGCTCAAAACGGTCGATTCTTAGAGATTGGCAAATTCGACCTTGTTTCTAATAATCCTCTAGGTATGTCTGCGTTTCAGAAAGGTATCAGTTTTCACGGGGTTAGACTGGAAAATATGATGATAAAAAATAGGATATGCAAGTGGAAGCGTTTATTGTTCACATTGGTAAAAGATGGTCTATATGATGGAACAATTAAACCAATCCAAGCAAAAATTTTTCTAAAAACCGATATTGAAGAAGCTTTTAGGTATATGGCGAGCGGAAAACATATAGGAAAGGTACGCTTGTGCTGATAAGTATTATAATAATAGAAAAGTTTATTCGTAAATAATGGCTTTCTATAATCTCATTCACATATAATAGAGCTGGGATTTAGTTGCACAATTCGGTCGATTTTCAGTTTAGTTCCTGCCCTATATTTCACTTACCCGCACGCAGTAAGAGGCAGGAACTAAGCTGGAAATCGGTCGAAATGTGCAATTAAATCCCAGCTCTGACATACAACGTGAATTTTTTAAATTATTTTTATAGATAATTATAAATATCCATGAAAAGGATGAACCTTTAGACAAGCACATTTTCGCGTGTCGTCGATATTATTGTCTCAGAGATAGAAGTTACATTATACTAGGAGGTCTGGGCGGATTTGGCTTAGAATTAACCGACTGGCTTATATTTCGTGGCGCAAAGAACATCGTTCTGATTTCCCGAAATGGAATAAAAAACGGTTACCAACGCATGAAAATTCGACTATGGAAATCGTATGGTGTAAAAGTTCTGATCATCAAAAACATCGATGTTGCTGACCTCAAAGATTGCGAATATCTCTTACGGACTGCGGAAAAAGAAGCTCCAGTGGACGCGATATTCAATCTCGGTGTGGTACTGAGGGATGGCGTCCTTAAAAACCAAACCGCAGAAGCATTTGCAGAATCCTTCCAATCGAAAGCTCGTGCAACGCAAACGCTTGATAAACTTTCTAGGAAAATCTGTCTTAACCTACGGCATTTTGTAGTATTCTCTTCCGTTTCCTGCGGCAGAGGAAACGCAGGTCAGACTAATTATGGCATGGCCAACTCCATTATGGAAAGAATTTGTGAAAAAAGGGCGGAGCAAGGATTACCGGGATTGGCGATTCAATGGGGAGCTGTGGGTGATGTGGGTCTCGTCGCTGACATGCAGGAGATCGATAAGGAACTAATTATCGGTGGCACTTTACAGCAGAAGATATCTTGCTGTCTTGACGAGCTCGATAAGTTTTTACTTCAAAATCGGTCGATTGTGAGCAGCATGGTTGTAGCCGAAAAAAAAGTGGGATGTCACGGATTGGGAAGTCTAGTAGAAACAGTCGCTAATATTTTAGGTTGGCGTTCCTACCTAAATTTGTGCAAACTTTTTCTTTTCAAAATACTTATTACATTTGTTTGTTAATCCAGTTTAGGAGAAATGCATTATAGTGTGTATAGGTCATAATAATTTTATATTTTATATTATAGACATAAGTGACATGAAGACTGTAAGTCCAAATTTATCTCTGGCCGAACTTGGAATGGACTCCATGATGACCGTAGAAATCAAACAAACTCTGGAACGAGAATTTGATGTATTTCTTACAGCACAAGAGATACGAAATCTCACTTTCGCAAACCTCATTAAGATGTCCGTTGCAAACATCAGTGACGATAATGTGCACGTTGAAAAGAAAATTGGCATAGAGAAATCAGACGTTATAAAAATTTTAGTTGGTATTATGGTAAAAAATGAAGATTTTGTTTCTCAAACAGATTTTTCGACCAACAGACAAAGTACTACGACTGAAGTATTTCTTATACCGGGTATTGTCGGATGTGGTTCTGTATTTAATCTCATAGCACCAAATATTAAATTTCCAACGTCGTCATTGAATTATAGCACGAACAACATAGATTGTACAAACATGATAACGGAGACTACCAATCGTCTTACAAACGTATGCAATGCTATTAGTAATTTCATTTTAGGTTAATGAAGAATTGTTTTCATTTAAAAGACATAAATTTTATCGAATACTTTTGATATTTTTACAGCACATACTTTCAAAGCTAACAGATGGAAAAGATTTTATAATAGTAGGGTATTCCTTCGGATCTCTTATTGCAATTGAAGTAACAAGGATGTTAGAAGCTATGAATTTTAAAGGCCGAGTTGTTCTCATCGATGGTGCTCCTGAGCTAGCACGAACAATGTTCAAACCTTTTGAACCGGATTTTGATGATGCAAATTTTCAGATTGATATATTAACTAATATTATTGAAATCTATTCAGCGGGAAGTTCCCAAGAGGTACATGCAACTTTCATTTTGAACTTACATTGAAACTAATTTACGGTATATTTATGTTATTTTTCGATTTTTATTATGTAGATCAGTATCAATTTCTTCGATTTGTCTTATGATTTCTCCAACAACATGAAATTTGCAACAATATTGTTACAATATTGCAGTAATATTGCAGCAATATTAATGCAAGTTTTGTACTGTTGAGGCTTATATATAAAAACAAAATGTATAACTTCGCAGATTTTAATTGAATTAAAAAAATGTGAAACCTGGGATAAACGATATAAAGTTTTTGCTAAACAATTCTCAGCTGTAAACACATCTCTCTCACTTGTTAATTTAAAGACGCTGTGTGTAACTGTTTACAAACATTTATCCGCTCTTCGGCAATATGATCCTTCTACATTGCCGCCTATTAAGTCTTCCATAATATTGCTAAAATGTACACACTTGTCAAATATGGTTGCGATCGAAGAAGATTTTTGTTTGCATAAGGTATTTAAAAAAGTCTATGCTCTTTAATAAATTAAATTTAGCAAATTTTTTTGTTAATAAAGTATGTAATTATTTAAGGTAACTGAAAATGTGGTAAAAGTACATTACGTTGAAGGTGATCATGTGACGATCTTGAAGAATGAAAAAGTGACTGCTGCTATTAACGGAGAATTACCATATACAATTTAATGTTTTGATTTATTTATAATTTGATTTTACAGAACAAATGAGTAAAGGAACTTTTAAAGCGTGTTAGTTAGAAAATCCGCTCTTCTTATAAATTTGATCAACAAGTTTGAATAGAGCGCGAAAGATACTACAAAAAACACTCTATCGGATCGATTTAACATAAGAAGAGTGAAATTTTGACAAACAATGTTAAGGGTCACCTAGTGTAATAAAATGAAATTTTTTTACTTCAAATTTCTACGTTAATCTTGATAATGCATACATACCATGCATATCAAATATTTGTATATGCCTAGCGTACAATATCTTCATTTACATTCATTGTTAGTATAAACATATAATAATATACAATATAATAAATGCAGATACGCGAAGATTGAGAATATTGTAATAAATAAAGGAAAAGACTGCGTTGTTATTGTAATTTATACATTAAATACGCTTATTTATTGTTAATGTATGTGTATTAAGTATATAATACGTTTATACAAAGTACAGATCTAAAATTTATAGAAATAATTGTCAATTGATTATTGGTGGAGTATATTTTTAACCTAAGGCCTCGTAAGAAACATACATTAATCACTATAGAAAACTAAAAAATATTATAGAATTAAAATTTAAAGTTTTATTATTAATGGTATATGATCGATATGTTTGATTAGAAAAAAGTTTTGCTAATTAAATATCATCCATCTTGTATCCAATTTCAACGCTAAAGATATGTCTGCAGAATTGTCTTAAAATAAATAATAAAATGTTATAATTTTCAAAAAATATATATTGTAAATGTGTCGTAATTTATGATTACAAATACAAGTTCAAATCATCCTCCTAACCAACTTGCTCCCAGTCACATTTTTCGATGTTGTGCACGATTACGAATTTGTTTACATCCGTGATTAATATGATCCCTATTTTATTCATCCTAACCGATGAATCTATGGTTACGTAATAAGTTCTTTAAGGATGTATTAAACGTACAATCCCTGCAAAGAAAATTAAATTTGGAAGTATGTGTAATATTTACTCTTCAAATAAACTATATACATAAAATTGTGTGAAAAAAAAAGTTGTGTGAATAAGATTATATTTTCGTTCAATAATACATTTTTGTAGTTCATTTATTTTATTTGTTGTTATTTTTATTTTGTTAAAAATTAAAATATAAAAAATAATAAAGAAATGTATATTTGTCTTTTATAAGTACTTTAAATATGTAAAATAATTTATGCAAAGTAGTAGCAATACAAGGGGGGATTCTAACTCAGGCGAACGGGGCGCGGGTGTGCGGAGTACTCGTAGGCGCGGTGGAGGGGAGTAGCGCGGGGAAAGTTCTAGGATCGATAGTATCGCTGTTTATATAAACATAGAACCCCGATCATATCACTGTTTACATAAACATGATACGAGTGATGACAAGTTAACGAGTGTTCCGTATTTTTTTTTAGCCGCCGCCGCAGCGGACCGCTGTGGGCCGTCATCCTCCCGAAAAATGCGTCGCGGGCCGCCTTCTCCAAAAACCCGAGCGGTATTATTTAAAGTATTATTAAATTGTAAAAAGATTTTTACTTATCTCCTTCTCCTCATCTGAATAAATTTTTATTCCTCCTCCGCCTCCTCTTCCATCCCGATCAGGACGCTAAGGAGGCTGGCACCTAAGTCTAGGCTATTTAACATATCAAAAGTTGTACTTCGAGTAATCGCGAATTTCTTGAGGCTCATGTGTGATGGGGGGGGGGAGGTTCCTCCTGGACGACATCTTTCTCCGTTCTCTTCCTCTTCATCCTACTCATCTTCCTCCTCCACCACCTCATCAGCAATTTCGATGAGATGGTTGAATAATTCCATTTTACTAACATGTAATTGATAAAGTCTTATCAAAATCCCATCCTCGACTTCCTCAAACAGAGGGGGGCATCCTCCTTCTCCTCACCCTTCACTTCTCCTTTTTTAGGATTTTGAACATTGCACTATAGGTAACAAATTAAAAACTACATTAAATTACATAAAATACTAAACTATCCGAAATACTGTATGTGTTATGAATCGTGTATGTACTATCTAAATCTCCGTTAGATTTAGAGAGTACATACACTGAAAAAAAATTTCATGTAAAATTACAAAAATTATAGTGGGTAATTTTGGGACCCACTGTAACAGTTGTAAACTTCCACGCGTTTGTAAATTTTCGATACACAAATAAAATTAATTTCTGAATTTGTAATTAATAGATTGCAGAAGTATGTTTACAATGTGTACACGTAAAGTTACAGGATGATAATGTAATAATACTTTTTGCAATTGTATTATTACACATTCAAATATTACATTCATATTAACATTTACACAGTATTTTGTGAATTTAATCCCCCCAAAGAGATTCACCACCAGAGAGCAGCTCATCGCCGAAAAAGAGGCTTATTTTGAAGGGTTGGACAAATCATATTATTCGGACGGCTTGAAAAAGTTGGAGAATCGTTGGATCAAGTGTATCGAGCTGAAAGGAGACTATGTTGAGAAATAAAAATAAATCGGTCAAAGAAAATGTGTTTTACTATGTTTTTCTAAAAACTTATTGACTTGCCTTCGTAACAGTGACATCGCGTGATCGCGAAAGAACAAATAATATGTGTAAAATTACACAATTTCTAGTGGAAATATATAAAATGTGTTTTTACAAAAATTAGTACATTTTACCTCTGATTATGTAAATATAGGTAATAATGGTAATTATCTTATATAATATTACAAAAATCTGTACATTTACATAAAAACTATGAAATATATTATTGTTATTGTAATTTTCCATCCAATGTAAAGGTACATTTACATATCAGAGGTAAAATGTACTAATTTTTGTAAAAACACAATTTTATTTATTTCCACACTATAAATTGTGTAATTTTTATATATATTATTTATGTAATTTTACTTTTTTTATAGTGTATGTACATGATTCGCGTAAGAAAAAAAGACAAACGACTGTGCGCGGATACAACTTGACAAAGACTGACACCGAAAAGCATCCTTCGCTGTGACGAAGCTGCCCAGGATATTCTTGACAGGCGAATGTTTTTTATGTGAAACCCTTGTAAGTGTTTCCAGACTATAGAACAATAGACCTCTAAGCACCTTAAAAAATGTAACAAAGGCTTGCATTAGAAAAAGATTGAGCTTGATGATGTCGAAGTGCGTAACGTGATATCACTTAGGACCTAGACACAAGGAAGGGCGCAAGAAATAAATGATGTCATTCACTCAGATGTACATTTTCTATAATGTAGTTTTTACAATATGTTATTTTCTTTACTAGCGCGTCGAAGTAGAGGATGGGAAAGTAAAGAAAGTACATATATAGCGATGCGAACGAAAAATTTTTTATTCGTATTTTATTACACTGTTTTTTTTTTCATACGTATTAAGAACTAAAGTTAAGAGTTCGCAATCGACGAGCTGATGCGTGTTGAAGATGCCGCTATCGCGTATAGCGTTCTCAGATGCGATATTGGAAAATCGCATATACTTGATCGAACGTATCGATAAGTCTGGCTAATCGTTCGAACGTTACACATCGATGCACCCATCAAACTCAAACATATGGCATAGCGTCGTTTCGGTCATCATCATGTATACGGATGAAGAATCGAGATCTACGAGCGTAACGTCGTTCAGCGTGCAAACTCTGACCGTTAGCGGTCCAACGCTTATAAAATTGTCTTTGTAATCTTTAGAAGAAGCTTGTAAATATTCCATCGCTGCTCGTAGAAGTCTTTCCACGTTTCGAGAGACAGCGACAGTTCGTGTCCACGATGATCTCCCAGTGCGATTTCCATGTAACTCGGTAGACTAACGTTAATTTCAATTTCTAAAAACTTGTAGCCCGTAGCCGCGTCAGGTCGACACGCCTGTTCAGTAAGCGCACCGCGCGACGCTCCATGCTGTGTTACGTAATGTTAAAAAAAAAACGTTTTTTTTTTGTGTATAGAACGTCGAAACTTATGCGTTAAAGCCTTTCTTCATTTCAAACGATGCGCTGCTCTCTTTGGCGAAGTACATTTTTGATCCGTTCGTACAAGCGGGTATCACAAGACTGATCGCATCCGCGTAAATTGCGAAGTATATGGTGACACTTTTGGAATCTAAGAGGGGGTAGCCTCTCCCCCACTTTCCAAGAATTGCAAACTTGTCGCGACATTTTATATTCTACGTATTTTGTTTGCTCGCGAGTTTATCTATGTTTATACGTACATAATAATGTATCATCGACGAATAGACAGCATTTCCAATCATTTCTATTTTTATAACCGCCAAAATATGTTGTTTAAAATTTGTTTATATACTTATATTTATTACATTGATAATGACCCGATCGGTGCCGAAACATATGTTTGTATTTTTCGTTGAATATTAAAGTTTTAATTTTTAGCCCTTCGATTTTATTATTATTGATTTGAAATTATTGGGCCATTTTCTTACTTTTATATAGAAAAAAATATTTTACAATTCCATTTATTAATACAACTTCTGATAAATTCAATACTATAGCTTCAACTGATAATTTTAAAGTATCATACAAAACTACGAATACCCTGAATAGATTTATAAAATTAGGTAAAGATAAACTTGATAAAATGGAACAATGTGATGTGGTTTATAAAATAAGCTGCCTTGATTGTAACTCTTCTTATGAGCAAACAAAAAGAAAAGCTAAAACGAGAATTAAAGAACATAGATCTAATATCAAAAAATCTAAAGATGCTCTCACAGTATTATCAAACACCAGATTGACTTTGATCACAAAATGAATTGGGATGACATCCAAGTATTAGATATCGAACCGTTTTTCCAAAAAAGAATTACATCGGAAATGATCTTCATTAAGAAACAAATTAATGATTTAAATAAGCAAAGCGACACGGAAAAATTACCAGAGACTTATTTTCCGTTATTTAGCATAACACCCCCTTCTTAATACCATTTTACCCTCTCCTTTGAGT